CCTGGAAGAAACAAAGAATAGCTTCTTTTCAAAATGAGTAGTTGTTTTGTTTAGTTTTCCTTAAAAAAATAGACTACTTGGAATATGTCAGTTATGGTAAACAGCCAGGACCATGTACACCATGTTTATCACTTAAAAAAAAAAAAGGCATTTGCTTTAAATTCATGGTACGCTCGTACTTCTGCTGACACTGTGCAAATGTTGAATATAGGACATTTGCCTCTTTTAAAACACAAGACCATGACCAGACTGATTTCCATTCATGACGCAATCAATAAAAAGAGAGAACTGATGACCTTATGTCTAGGGCACCTATGCCCAAAATGTATTAATATGTCAGGTTTTAAAATATATTGGTATTCTTCTTCCTTGTAAAAATAAGATAATAGTGGTGATAGTTGCATAACTTCTTTGTCTCAAGACATAATAATTATTTGCAAATTATGTCACAGTAAATACATTAATCAGAAAACATCTCAGCTTTTAGTAATGTTTGATACTACACTGAGCTCATCGTAGCTGCTGAAAGAAAAATGGGTTTTTTACAGCAGTAGAGGCACACCCATGTGTGTTACTGCAATGTTTGCCACATACATCCTCATGAAAATATTTCATGTAGAAGAGATTCAAAAGTGATTCACTGTCTGACTTTTCCCTACCCCCTGCATTCCATTCTGACAATTCCCCTGACCTGGCACAGAAAACAGGTGTCACCAAATTTAAAGTGGAGGTGTTTTCTCCGTTGGTGTGACCTTGATGATAAATAATAGATTTAAACAACAGCAATGACCTGCAGACATTTCACCTCTTCAGGCTTTCACATACACAGAGACACAAGCACAGCAGATGCACTGGAGTGTGATGAGCTTTAGAATACCTGCTCTGCACAACGAGCCTTTCCTAAAATAACAGCATCTGAAATATATTGTGATAGGCTTTCTCTCCTGCTCTTTCTCTTGGCCCAAAATTATAGAGATTAGCGTTCTCAGAAGAGTCCTCCTTTGCAAATATTTCAAAGATTCTCTAAAAAGCAGTTGTGTGTTGTGTTGCATGCAACTGTGTGTCCTTACTGTCTGTTCCCTTTCCTCCTTTTGTCCAGCCCATATCTTGGGCATCCTACCATCTCAGAAATGACTCTGTTTTTAAGGAGGGATACAACATACTATTTTCATTTTTCAATTTTTTTTTTCTCCACAGCCATTCAGGATATCATTCTTGAATACAGACTATTGTCACATAATTTGCCTCAGATGTGCTGATTGCTTTCTCCCTATAATCATCATCAGCAGCAGCACTGATTATCTTTCATAATAACTGCCTTCTTTACTCAAAGCAGTTAATAATACAGACTATTGTCACATAATTTGCCTCGGATGTGCTGATTGCTTTCTCCCTGTAATCATCAGCAGCAGCAGCACTGATTATCTTTCATTAATAACTGCCTTCTTTACTCAAAGCAGTTAAAGATGGTCTTACAAACACAGGAAACCCAAACACTTGGCCATTGCAAATGTTTTTCCAAGTGTCATTTTTCTCGCTTATGAGTAAGTCTAATTTGGGTTTAGAGCTGCAGGTGAAATCTATTCAACAGCAAGGGATACATAACTTTATGAAGTGACTTTATGATGTGGGCATCACATGATCGCCCACAAAATACAAAGGTGAAATCTATTCAACAGCAAGGGATACATAACTTCATAGGGGCATCACATGATCGCCCACAAAATACAAAGGATTCTGAAGACAAGACAGACACCAGCTTGGAAAACTGTGTACCCACCTTCCTTGCAGAGTTGTTGGTTGGTTGGCTGGTTGGTTGGTGTGGGGTTTGTTTGGGTGAGTGTGTGTGTGTGGTTCCCCCCCCAACACCCTTCATAGATCAGGTTAGACTACCATTGTTAAGTTGAACTTGAAATTGCGTACAATGATCTCAAGCTCTGCTTTCAGGCCTTATAATACAGCTATTTTTTTTCTTTTCTTTGGAAATACTGATGTGATCTTCTAATGGTCCTCAAAGGAATAAAATGGTGTGGGGTTTTGCGTTGTGGGTTTTTGTTTGTCTGGTTGGTTTGTTTTTAACTGAATAAGTTGGGAAGGATGACCGGGAACTAGACAGAGATTTTTGACTTGGTATTATTTTTGTCAGATAGGAAAACCACCTGGTATTGGTATTCACCAATAGTGACCTTGTCCAAAGTGAGATCACAGCTGGTGGCATAACGGAGTACAGTGGGAAAGCAGAACAGGAGAGCAGAAGAAAATTGAGTACTAGTAATCACTGAGTACTAGTAATCATTGCTACCTACTCACTCCTCTATTTAAATGCCTTCAGAATTGTATGTATCTATCAAAGCTCAGTTTCTGTTAATTTCTTTTTATGTAATGTTTGCCTAGAGAATATTTCCAGAAGCTACCATTGCCACTCTGCCTACTACAGAGAACCCCATTTACAGTAATCAGTTGTCACATAAAATATAAACATTTTCTTGATGTACCTTCTCTAAGTACTTAAACAACCCCCTCTATTAATTATCTTAACATTTATCTGTGTTACCCACTGGGACAAATAACACAAGAAAAAAAATAAAAAATCTATGAAGGTAAAAATCAGAAGCTGCATTTAGCCTCCAGCTTAAAACTTCTTGTGCACAAGCTAGAAAGGCAGCCTAAAGGTGGCAAGAAAAGACATAGCAAGGATGTTTGCAGAATTAACTCTCACCCACCAGAGTAGAACTGAGTTTGGATTCTCTATATTCAGAACTGGGACGCTATTTTCCGAGCTGAAAAAAACACCACCCTTGGCCATGCTAAGAAGGAATCATACATAGTAGGGGAGCAGGTACCAGGAGTAAATTGGCAACATATATTTGACCTGAGTCTGTTGCTGCTGCTTTCTGGCCTCAGACTTCTGTCCTGATGTGCCTGCATTACAACACCGTACTATGAAGGCATACACAGCCTTCATATAAACCATAAAAACATGTTAAAACACATAAACCAGTTTCTGAAATTAGTTCTGTCACTTGTAATTTCTGGTGCTCACTATGCACTCTGCTCTGTCCACACGTGGGCTGAGGGGTGTCCTGTTAGGTAGTCAGGCCCTAGGATACGTGTACAATTTAAGGTTATCTGTGGACAGTAGCTCATAACTTACACGCTGCCCAGGAATTCAGTTTCTGACATGTCCAGGAACGTGTTTGCTTCTCAAACAGTGCTTTTTCTAAGATGCTGCTAAGCCACCCTTGCCTGAGCAACTTTAATCTGTTTCTTAAGAATTGTGCTGAGTCACACACTACCTTGTGAATGGATCAGTCTGAATGCTACGACGTGATATCCTCCAAGTAGCCAAGAATAAATGGAACCTTAGTATTCTCCCACCAGAGATCAGCAAATGCACTGATAAATCATTCCAGTGGCTTGCCTTTTTCAGTAGTAAGGCAAGAATACATTAGGTTGGCACAATAGCATTGTTCAGGGATGGAATGAGTGTCTAAGGAAGAATAACAAGCCTACAGCTCCATCTGGTGAGTTAGCGAGCCTGCAACGCTGGCATACTGAAATGAAAATAAAAAAAACCAACCCAACACTCAACTGATTTCCAGGATTTATTTGCAGAATAGAAGAAATTATTAGGACACTAATTCTCACAAACAAATCCTTAGAAGATACCTCTCAGGCCTGTTCTAGTTTCAGTTTTACTCAGAGAAAAGGCTACTTGATTTGGTAGTTCCCATCCCTTGCAAGGGAACAGAAACACACCTGGCCTTCAACTGGCACAGTCACCTCTGAAGTTTAATTTCAAGAAAGCTATCTAGCTATACAGAACCTCCCCCTCCCACTGCCACCCCCCCAGACCACACAATCCCAACAAACAGAAGTTAAACAATCTACATCCTTTGTGATTTTTGATTAGTGAGTTGAATATACAAAACTAGAGCTGAGCTTATATGTGTTACTAACACAACACTGTTTCTGTTTAAAATAGTGTTAAGATTTTAAATCTAGAACTACATTAAAGTACAGATAAAAAGGGAACACACACATCTGAGGTTCTGTTAGTTTAACAAACAATTCTGAATTTTCAGTGTGAAAACCTTTGTGCTAATACAGTGCCATAACTCACAGGTACACATTCACACAGTCAGGCACACTGTAAACAAAGGTCCCTCTCCCAACATTGCAATGACTCATTTCATCTGTCAAACAGAATCAAGGCATCATTTATTTGAACAGAAAGGAAATGTTTCCTATTCCAGGTAGTATGTAACAATGCTTATTTCTATTTAATGATACCATGCAAGCAATCCAAGAAGTCAAGAATGTATTTCCACAAGCCGCTTCGTAAGCACACCATCGCTGCCCTTTTGGAAATCATCTGCATATGTGCTTACTCCGTTCTATGTTAATAAACAGTGATGGTAAAGAAGGGAGAAAGACACTGTAATGCCATATAACCCTCCTGAGCCATTATATTCTGATACTTAAGACTTTATCATACATCCAGTCAAGCACCCCTAACTACAGACATTATTTCTTCCTTGTTCACATTTTTTTTTTCCTCAACATTTGCTCTTGACATTTTTTTTTTTAGTATGACTTAAAAAATAAAAGACCATGTAATATCAGACTATTTCATGCCAATCACAACAGCAAGAGGTACAAATATCCTTGGAAATACAGAGTGCATCAAGATTGGGCTCTGAATGGCTTTACCACCACACACCGTGTATTGCATATGCGTCATTTTACAAGCAAGTGCATCTGTGCATTTGTACATATGCTTCTCTATTCCCTGAAGCTCCTACACTCAAACTTTAGGCACCTGTGCATGAAAAAGAAGCTTTAGAAAATACAGTACTTCAATTAAGAGTGAGTGATGTGTTGGGGCTCTCAGAAAATGGGTCTCTGGTGGAATCCAAGACAAGGCTTAAGTGAATCACACAATATCAATGCAAAACACATACGCTACAGAGTTTGCAGGGGGCTCTGAAATACATGTGAGGACAGTTGTTATCACTGGAGTTATGCCTCTAAAAACACCTTTTTATGGCAACAGCTCCAAACAGTGACACAATCTTGTGCCATCTTGAAAGACAGACCCAGAATTCGTGAAAGATACTTTCACTAGACAAGAACAGGAATTCTGTCTCCCTCACATTATGTGACTGAGCTTAGGGATTGGGGTTTGGGAATCTAAAGCACCTAAGATGTCCTCTGGTGGTTTGAGAAACTTAAAAAAATACTATGGTGCTCTGTTCTAGGGCTTCAATTTGCCCTCCTTCACTAATTGCTCATTGAGTTGGCAAAGCTGCCTTAGGAAGCCGTCATTGGGGCCAATCTCTCGCTTCTGCCGGACAGTGCTCAACGCAGACTTGACATCCATGTTCTGGCGAAGCATGAGGTAGGCGATGACCAGTGTAGGAGAACGGCTGTAGCCCTCACGGCAATGCACAAACACTTGTCCTGCAGGGAAGACAGGTCATAATTTGGGTTATACTGGAATATATGTTTGAAAAGCGACATGAAATAGCTAGGCTATAACGCATAATAACATTAGTCCTGTAGCAGCTTGAGGACTGTAAATTCTGAATGCTATAGAAGACATGTAGAACTGGGAAGAAAGGTGCTATCACTCTTGTTAGTACCTACACAGCCTGACATCAAAAATCATGCAGAAAAAAATGGCTGTATATCAAATATTCACATTAAAACATATTTGCTCCTATACTACAAGTGTCAAACTGTGTCTCTTTACTACAGTTCTCCAATCTTTTGTGGTTTCAAATAAGCCTTGCCCCTAAAGATGACCAGCACCAAAGAGAACAAATAAATGATGCAAAATTTAAAATGCAGTTAAAGCAGAGAGTAATACAATGTTTCTCATATACTATATCTCTTCAAAGATATCTAGCCTATTTTGTTGCATTTCTGCTAATTCATATGCTAACTCCACCTTGGATCATACCTGGCTACTTCTCTGGCTATTTATGAAACCACATTAACTCTCAAGTAAATAAAACTGCTGACTGTGCAGCAATAAGAACCAGAAACACCTAATTCCACCTATGACTGCACTAATAAAGTGCTTCCAGCTAACTGATTAGGGAACTCATCTGATGTATTTGTTGGGCTGTATTTGGTTGGTGTGGCCAAGTTTTGGCAGCCAGGAGGGCTACAGGGGTGGCTTCTGTGAGAAGATGCCAGAAACTTCCCCCACGTCCAACGGAACTGGCTCCAAGATGGACTTGCCACTGGCCAAAGCTGAGCCTGTCAGCGACAGTGGTAGCACCTCTGTGATAACATATTTAAGAAGGGGGAAAAAAAAAAATTCTGCTGCACAACAGCAGCTGGGAGAGAGGAGTGAGAGTATGTGAGAGAAACAGCCCTGCAGACACCAAGGTCAGTGAAGAAGGAGGGTGAGGAGGTGCTCTGGGCACTGGAGCAGAGATTCCCCTGCAGCCCATGGTGAAGACCATGGTGAAGCAGGCTGTCACCCTGCAGCCCATGGAGGGCCATGGTAGAACATACACCCACCTACAGCCCATGAAGGACCCCACACCAGAACAGGTAGATGCTCCAGAAGGAGACTGTCACCGTTTGGAGAGCTTATGCTGGAGCAGGTTCCTGGGAGAACCTGTGACCCCGTGAAGAGGAGCCCAAGCTGGAGCAGGTTTTCCGGCAGGACTTGTGACCCCAGGGGGGACTCACACTAAAGCAGCCTGTTCCTGAAGGACTGTACCCTATGGAAAGGACCCATGCTGGAGAAATGCATGGAGCACCATCTCCCATGGGTAGAACACCACACTGGAGCGAGGGAAGAGGGTGACAAAGGAGTGGAAAAGACCACGTGTGATGAACTGATCACAACCTCCATTCCCCACCCCCTTGTGCTGCTTGGGGGGTAGGAAAAATTGGGAGTGAAACTGAATCCAAAAAGAAGGGAGGGGTGGGGGGAATGTGTTTTAAGATTTGGTTTTATTTCTCATTATCCTACTCTGATGTGATTGGTAATAAATTAAATTAATTTCCTCAAGTCAAGTCTGTTTTGCCTGTGATGGTAACTGCTGAGTGATCTCCCTGTCCTTATCTTGACCCATGGGTCTTTCATCATCTTTTCTCCTCCTGTCCAGCTGAGGAGGCGGTGGCTTGGTGGGCACCTGGTGTCCAGCCAAGGTTAACCCACCACACGCATAAATCCTGTAGGCAAGTATCCAACAACAATAAAGCTGGCCACTGCTCCCTTTGAGAAATAATCTAACTTGATTTTATTGCTTCTCAGCTGCTTCCTCTTTGACCTGCTTTTCCAGACACAAAAATTTTCCCCTTCCCAAATGCAGTGGGAGATATGGCCCCAGGCTACTCTCCAGAGTAAAATTTTTCTAAGACAAGAGAACAGATGAACCATACACACACTTTTTCATCATAACCATGATTTTCTCCGAATCACAGAAAACCTGTTATCACATTTGCCTTGAGCTGCAGAGGCTTCTTTGCTCAAGGCAAATCTCTTAATCAGTAGCAAGTTAAAACAGCTAAACCAATTCATTCTCAACATTTCCTGAGAGCTCGTTGCTACAAATTAGCAAGATTCAGAGATTCTTGATCATATATGTGGAAGAGAACTGTGAATTATCAGAAGCAAAAGGGCTTCTAGCCTTCCTCTGTGAAGGGCAGTGTCTTAAGGGCTGCCTTCCAGACCTGTAGTACACCAGACCTGCCTTCTAGCACTTCATGCAACTACAGTGCTAAAATGACATTGAAGGAAAATACTACTGCATCCCTCTTCAACTCACTTCACTGTCCTTACTCTGCACTTCAGTGTCAAACAAATGATCAAATTTCAGTAGTGAGTTAATCTTAAAACTGGTCCCTGCATCACCCAGCTACAAAGTTATTTTAACACAGTAAGAAAACCCCGGCAGGCATGGCAAACAACTATGAAGACTGAAAGAATCAGTAAATAGAACTGCTACTGTAATTTCAGATTGAGTCTGCAACTGTTTAGATCAAACTGAGCAGGGACAGACATGGCACAGCTGGCACTGTTAAACTCTTTCCTACTGCAGCCTGTTTCAGTAAGTCACAATGCTAACTGGAAGAACTGCATTTAAATTTTTAGAATTTTTCATACTCCACCAAACTGGAGGTAAAATTTATTTCCATCCGTTAAAAGCACGTCACAGCTCTAGTACCCCTTTTGCTCATTTCAGAGAAAGAACTTTTGGAATTGTGGGACTTCTTGTTCCTCCTTTTTCATGTTCAGTCATGAAGTGAGAAAGAAATAAAGCAAGAGTAGAAATCTCTGGTACGCTGAAATAGTCAGAGAACAACAAACACCATGTGGCCCACTGCACTATGTCCTGGGATTTCTGCTCTGAGGAAACACACTGTAGAAAAAAATGGCAATCAACAAGATTGCAAATATCATCTCCAGCTTTTATGCAATCCTAGGGAATAAAGAGGTAATCATTGCATAAAATAATTTAATGACTTAATGTAATAAAAATTGTAAGGCCACAGTCTCTATCCTTACCCTGTATTTGGAGAAAAACATATAGCAGGTTGTAAGTACTCTTCAGCAACGCATTACTCGTATCACTTCTGACTTTCATTTCTAGTGTCCTCAAACCACCTTCAGCTCCTGAACTTTTTATTTTTTTGTGATTTACTACTTCTAAGGAAAAATAAGAACACAGCTTCCCAGAAAGGCACTATTATAGGATGCAGCAGCTGTTTCGCTTTCCAGTCACTGCTACAGTGACAGACACTGGAGACCTACATGTACAGACAGAAGATTAAGATGTCTTATTGTGTATTCTGGTGTCTTTGATCCAGAGCCTTGATCTGCATTCCTGACTTGGCTGTCCAGATGATAATATGAGCAAAAAAATATTTTAACCAGTAAAATAAATTCCTAAGAAGCATATGCAGTGTACAGAAAACACAGTAAAAAGGTATTTCAATTCGCCTTACCATCCTTCTGGGAAAGTGCTTTCTCAATAAAATCAGCTGCCTCCTCAAAATAGCGACTGAGGTTAAATTCTTGTGTATCGTTAGCTTTAATGCCATGGTATCTGATGCCTGTGCCTTCATAGAACTCTGCATTAGTGTTCACATGCATGAATGACTTCCCCTCTGCTGCATTCAGAACATGGGTTATCCCCAGACGCTGCAGCCTCATAATGTTCTTGGCTATGAACCTGTGTGATAAAAAGTGACAAGAAAAGGATTAGATCTTAGTGAATCATCTCAGTATTTATGATGCCCCCAGAAGGTACTGATAACCAAAACCTTTGATTTTTCTGTTAATAGATGCTAAATATACTGTGCCCAGAGGTGAATTAGCTACAGATTAAAAATTCACAGAAATATTTAGAGCCATGGTCACTATTTGTGCATAAGAAAATGCTGCTTTCTTGGCTGACAACCGAGTAAGGCACACATGAAACTTAATCTGTTAAACCTTACTATGGCATACAATTATAACTCTTTCTGAACATAAAATTCTGACCAAAGTAAGAAAATACTGGAGGGAACAGAAAGCCCAGGATAGCAGCTTCTAAGATTAACCGTTATCTATGTAAGGTAATTTTAAAACCAGTTATGAAAGCCTCTACTGTCAGCTACCAGTCCTGCAGGGCTAGGAGAGCAGTACTTGCTCCTGCAGCAGACAGTCCAGACAAACAGACATTTTAGGGGCAATTTTAACCACTGTGAAACAGCACTGGCTTATTCTCAGGCCACAGGAAGATAGAAAGTAACTATGAGTAAACCTTCCTGCATCTTCAAAGGTCTCATGTGAAGACTCCTGTGAGGTGTAGTCCTCTGTCCCTGGGCTATTCAACATCTGTGAAGACATGGAAAGATCTGGCAAGACTATCCAGTCTTTAGTACTCGGTGTTTTCATCACAAGTATTTTAATTTTAGTGTCTCAGTTAAAATAAATATCTGAATGGAAAAGAATCCAGATTAGTGATGTTTAAGATGCTTAAGAAAGCATTCAGTACTTTTAGGTCAGCTAAATGCTTTCCAACTCCTCAGTTCTATCAAATAACTGTAGTGAAGCCACTTGCTTCCGTCTTTAAGTGGCTAAAAGAGCACCCTACCCTATTAGTGAACAACTGCGCAGGATGATACATAATCATGCCTTTCAGGTTTGATGATGACAATCAATTAGATCCAATAGTAATGCTATAAACTCTGATCAAAGCTCCAGGTTGTACAATGGCAAACAATCAATCCGCTTAGTAATACAACTGATCATGCACAAATCTCTGCTTGTGCACTGGAACGCAATCTCTAGTAAGACGAGACCATTGAATCCTTCTTATTGTAAAACCACCACTTTCCATTCTGAGGCTGATTATTTCCATATGTCTGTCCCAATATTTGCCTCACTTTCCTGGGAAGAAAAAAACCCCATGTTTTAACACACCATATGGTCTCCTAGTAAAATCTGAGCCTGCTGGTCAACATTAGCAGAATGTGACAGAAGGCTTTAATTGAGAGGTAACACAGTTCCTGCACACTTTGTGAAAAAAAGTAGCCTAAACGGACATAAATCCCTTTATTGCTTTTAAAGGCAGCTTTCACTATGAGTCTAACTGGATGGGGAAAGAGAAATCTTTTAGAAAAATCTCTCTACGGCTCAAGTAATAAATTGCAAATACAAGGAGTCTTAAGATTAAGCTGAGCTCCAGATAAGTATTTGTGCAGTATCTTCTTGCACATGGCAATACACCCAAGGGTTTTGGCTGGACACCTAGCTATTCTAAAAATGTTAAAATAAATACCCAACTGAGTTGGTTTATATCTATATGCATCTCTGAGTGCATTCATTCACAGCTTTCACTTAATTCAAGGCTATATGAACATCTAGAGCGTTCCTTTTCTCCTAATGACTGTTCAGCCCCTAAATCGCAGTCTACGCAGATGAACCCTTATGCATGAGTGAAGCTTCTATGTTTTCTCCTGTCTGCCAAACAACTATGGCAATGAGCCAAATATTTGTAAAGACTTCATTACCCAAACAAATGTTGACAGATTTTCCATCTGGCAGGACATCATCTGTGCCAGGGGACAAGTATCAGTGCCTGGGGAATTCTGCTTGCAACACAAAAGTAAATCCTACAGTACAAGGGCAAAACAAAAAGTGTTAATTCAGCTGCAAGTTCCTGTGCTTAGTGGGGTAAGTATATGGTTTAAGTAACAGTATATAGATCAGTATATATCTGATAGCCCTCAGGATCAGTAGGAACTCACGTCCTAGAATTGTGGTTGAAGCTGGTAACACAGACAGACTTCCCTGGAGGCAAACTCATTCCCAGTCAATGATTTTTGCAGATTTAATAGATTATTTTCTTACACAGCCAGAGGTGAAAAAGAGAGTATTTGTATGCCATTTTTTTCTCCCTTTCCAAACAACCCATAGATGTCTCCAATCCTTAACATTTCATTCCAGCTGCATCATGTTCAGTGTTGAAATGCTGCCTCCTCCAAATAGCGGAGACACGCCAACATTAGCTTCTTCTATTTCCCTAAGAAAAATTAGAGAATCTTGTCTGTTCTCAATATGGAAGATTGAGAGTTCCTTATCCTGTGAGTAACACTAGTAAGAAGTGTTTCTTTTGAACAGAGAGGAACAATTTTACCAGCCACAAAACACAGGTCTTAGAGAACCATGCATCAGCAATTAAGGGTACATCTGTCTATAAAAGTATTTTCGTATGGGACGATAAGCAAATAAACCAAGTCCTTAATGGCAAAAAATGCCAGTCCATTAACACATTTTAATTTCCACTCTTACGTTCGTGCAAAATTGTTTCATCACCGCTTCCTCCCTTACAGTCACTAAATTTAATATGAATTTTGGGAGAATGCCTTTCATACTACTATACAGTAGTTCTTGTTTTACTGATACTACATTTTTACTCGTCTTCACAAATCTTACCTGGTGTCCTTGAGGGGTTAGAACTGTCTACTGTAACATGCAAAAACATTTTAAAAATATTTTATTTTACCACCTTACCTCTGTGTTTTCATTAATTTTGACTTTCATGTGTTGCATGGAAGATCTCATACTTGGCTCTGCATGTAGCTTGAAGTCAATTGCAGATAAATTGTTATTCTACACTACGATCCAATTTAAACTCATCTGCCTGAATGTCTCTGCGCTGTTATTTTTATCTAAAGATCAGTTACTCATAAGGAGTGACAGCAGCACCCCTATGCAAAATATACTAGAAGTTTCTAACAGAATTTTGTGAATCTCACTCAGACGTTTAAATTTTTTTCTCTGAGTTCCTGTTCAAATTCTATTGCTTTTATGCCACATACTGGGATTCCAATCCCTTCATGTTAAACTCTACAGATGTGGCTACTCTGTCAATTCTCATTGTTATAAAATCGCTGCTGCTTGTAGTCATAAAAGTGGCCTGATATTGCAGAAAGGTTTGATCCATCCAAGTCAAAGCAGATATCTGAATGTCAGATCAAATGACTGCATTACTTTATTCTCCTGCTATTCTGCCTTCCAGTAGCCCAGTGCAAAGTGCTTTCAATGACTCCTCAGAGATTCAGTAAGGAGATTAGTGCAACAAAGGCCAAAACCAAGACAGGAGGTGGGCTTCAAATATGAGATGTATTCCAAGCTCTGCACAGATGCTAGAGCAGAAAAAGACAGGCTAATAAACTGCAAATACAGGCCCAAAACAAAACTCTGGCTTATTTCTTGCACACAGTAGTAAAAGCTTTATTGATGCCTTGCACGCTGTTGGACCCGCAAAGCACAATGCACAAAGCCTGAGAAGCTGAGTGCAAAGGAGGTTCACTCCCCAGCAGTTCATAGGAGAAGGAGTGAAGTCAGAAAACCAGATCTCTCTTCAGCCTTATCTTTACACAAGGAGAGTACAAAGGAGGGACATGTACCTGGAAATGGCATGAAAACAGCTCTGCAGTTTCAAATTCTTTCAGAATGATAACTAATATAGCAAATGATACTTACAATGCAGTATACTACCACCCCACTTGATCCAAAAAATCCTCTTAAGAATTAGTATTATTTCCAGTTTGAGAATACCAAAGCTCACCCTGCAGTGACTGAATCTTAATAAGACCTCAGCATTACCTTAACTCTCTGTGGATGCTTCAAAGATATTACTGCCTACTAAGTCTTGATAAATAAGGTAAATTGTCTGCTCCTACTGTGAAATAGCTTTTTCTGCCCACAAAGATTTTTCTTACCTCTAGACATCCTCCACAATTTTTCAACATCCTTTTAAAAGCACTGACAGTAGAACTGCACGTTGTCTGTTAGTCCAACTAACAGCTACACTGTTCCTATGCTACAAAGTGCACTGGTGGCTCCAGATATTTTCAGTTGTCAATTATTACATAAAAAGCCCTTCTCAGTGGTAAAGATTTCCACTAGACAGACATTTTCCATCCTGCAAACTACACATGCATTCCCTGTTCCTAGACAACCTTGCATCTGAATGTATTAAAGTCCATATTGCACAATTAAAATCAATTACTGAACAATGAAAACTACTCTGTAGTAGCCAACTTATTTACTGCGCAAATCACCTATCAGGCTATGACTTCATTTTTTCCAGATAACTCCTAAAAATATGAAAGAGAAGGTGGCTGTCAGACATCAGGTTGGGCACTGAGATAATAATTTCAGTCCTATCTCTAGATGTGCGTGTCCTGCATCAACTGGCACTGACAAATACAATTTGGTTTGGCTTAGGAGAAAGTTAATGAAAACCTATGGGTTTGACTTCCATTTCTTTAGGAGTTACAGGCTTCAAGTACGAACAGGGATCCAGTGTACTACACATGTATCAAAAAGTCGCCAAATTCACAGAGATAAAGTGTACAAACATGGACAAAAAGGGGAGAGAGAATCAGCAGGATATGATAGAATTGGAACAGACAACCGAAATCATAATCTTGGTATAAAGAATAAACGTCATACAACTGGGAAAAGAAGTGCTATTGGTGAAAACTGGACGCTTTTCCTCAGTTAAGGGCTTTCATCATAGCCATACCTATATCCCTTTGGCTCCACCATGTGCATGAATACTTAATGGGGATGAGGTTTTTTAGGGCTTACTAGAAACATTCATCTGACCAATGACAGACAGAGGCAGTGACTCCTGTCAAAATCTTGCATCCTTTAGGTCATTTTGCATGTGGTTAAATTGAGATCTAATATCCATTTTACTACCTTGCTCATTCTTCACGTTCCAGCTTATTCCATTCATCTGACATGCAGTTATTACACTGGTGTTGTGACCGGGCTTCCGCAGATGATATTGTACATATACCTCACGGCATCTTGTCTCTCCTCTCCCTTCTGTGTGGATGACCACAACTTGTTAGCAAGAGTAAATAGCATTAGAAAAAAAAAGGCTGGTGCTGACACAACTGAGCAGGTGTTTCATTCTTAAGCAACTTCATTAGTTTTAGCCTTGTTTCCCCTCTATTTTAGCTTAGATTTGGGACTTCCACAGGGCACCGAACACTTCAGCAGATGCCATTTATGAGCTGTGCCTCGTCACTGGCCACGTCAGGCACCAGCGAGAGCCCCAGGCAGCCTGCTCTGGCCGTGCAGCCCCAGGCCTCCCGACTGACAGTTCTTGACACTCCACACCCGCGGAGCGCGCAGCCCACGCCAGGCTCGGGAGGCCTCCCGAGGCCCGCACGGATCCAGCGCACTCCCCCCTGC